GAACTTCTAGCCAAGTAACTATAGGAGGGTCTATTTTAACTGTGGTTATTAAAAATAAATAAAATAAACCTTTCAATAGAGGTAGTCTGGCACACTCTAGTTATTGCTGTGATTGTGAGGGTTAAGCTCACATTTTTAAGCCTGATGCATTTATTATTTTTCATTACTTAGATGAAGATAAAAGCAACCAAACAAGTCAAGAAATGGAGTCTGTTTCATCTCAAAACTTTGAACATATTCATGATCAGGATGTATCTGTGCAGGTAATACCGCTGTATACAGCAGTGCTGATAACTTTAAAAGCTAATATGAAGCAAAGGTGGAGGCTGCTAGGACAAGCGGTGCTTATTATTTCCACTCCTGCACTGTCCTCTGCCTGGGCCCACACTTATGTATGCTGTTGTGCAAAGATCAGAAGCTGCTCTAGCTAGGAATCCACATGAACAGCCAGGCAGCACGGGGCTGGGAATAAAGTGGCACTGAGAGGAGGAGAAGGATGAGGTCCTGTTTGTGTAGGTCTGCTGCTGAGTAGAGGCATGTGGAAGCACAGCTTTGTGTGGGCTCCTCTGTAGATGTGGAGAGAACATTACTGTAACAGACATGGCAAGAGTCGTCTTACTCTGAAGATCTGCGAGTCCTGAGATTTTGACTTGACTGTGTTACTGAGCTAAGAATCTGCTACTGATGGAAAGCTACCAAAGCTGAAAAGGAGCAATATAGCTTCAGGTTTCCCGTATAATTAAAGGGCACATATTCTATCTGTGCCTCTTCTGTTAGATGAAGCTCAACTTGATAAAAGACCGTTACTATGAAATGTATTGGTGCAGCATAAATTAACTGAGAATTTATCCCAAGAAATTTTAAATGGTTGCGTCTGTCTTTTAGTCTCTGTGTCAGTACTCTATCAAAGCTACTTTGGTTTTCTTCCCATTATTGTTCATTTCCATTTCCACAATATTCTCTGCACTGATCCCATTTTCTTTAACATAACATGTTTTTAACTTTCAAGTATTTCCAATACGCATCTGGAAAAATTTTTTTTTAATATAGAAACATTTCTGAAAGATAAATATTTTATTGCCTCA